ACACCATTAATATTTCTGTATAATTAAATGTAAACCAGCAAATTATGCAACCAAACCAAATGGATTCAGGCAATGCTGCTTGCAATCTGCCTGACAGAAATGGGGACAATAAGTATAAACTCATTGTCAGTCATAAGCTCAGCATAAACTGTTGAGTATTACTCAACATCAGCAAATATTACATATGGTTTCTGATAAATATATATAGTAAATAAACATGATCTTGTATTCCTCACACAGTACATAGTACATCCTCCTGTCACTCTAAAACTCTGCTTCTGCTGAGATACTGTAGGACAGAAAGTAGGAAAGTTGAGTTCTCTGAGGGAAATGCTCAGGTTCTGTTGTATGGTATTTTTGGCAAAAATGATCCTCAACTTTTGATTTCATAAAGTGATAAAGAAATCAGGCTTGGGGGGGGTGGGGAGGGGAACCAGTTGAACATTTTCTTGTGGATTTTTTCCCAAACAGTTTTATTAATTACACCTTCTCAGCAGGTTAAACCAGCAGGCTATTAAAATTGCTGCAAGGCAGAGTAGGTAAGCAGCAGCATGGGTCTCAGCCTAGTAAGATTAATGTCCTGTGCTCCTCAGAAGACAACACTTCAGCTATAGCAGCAATTCTTCCCATATTTTTTTTAGTTTCAGTCTCCCTCTCTTTTGTATCTCTGAACCCTTTGCGATTGCAGTTTGCTTCAGGAGAAGACTGGATCTTTGTCAAAATCAGTTAAACGACAGACAAACAAGAGAAGAAAATGAAAAAGAAAACATTTGATAAGTGATTCTGACCTCAGCTTGTAAGCGGAGTTGAGTTCATTTTGTCAGGTAAACCCTCAGTACCACTTTCCAGCACAAGAGCTCAGTGATGCATTGCATGGTGTGATCAAATACTTCTTCCCTGATTCTGAAGCCAGTTGTTCTCCTACAGTCTGGTGAATGATAGTGGTAATACTGCAAATGCATCAGTTGTGAGCAGACCTCTCCTCTTCTTTAGCCTGCCTGTCATTGCCTCTTCTTCTGTATCTCCATTAGAAGAATGGAGAATGAGAATTACGAAGAAAAATGGAATTTGTTCCAAAATTTTGAGTGGCTTCTCATTCCAATCCCAATGTCTTCAACAATTTCTGTCCTTTGACAAAGGCTGAGTGTGCTCTGTTCCAGCCCCTTCTGAAATGAGATGATGGATGCATCTACACAGCATTTTAGTGCAGACCAGGACTGCGCTTGCAAAGTAAATTATTTGATTATTCATACTTACTGCACTTTGGTTCACATCTCAGAGCAGAGTACATAAACATGATTCCTTTCATATGAAACTAAGTTGAAAAATGCCCCTCAGCAGCACACTGAACATGCTCCAACTGCCAATGAGCCTCCAGTCTAGTGGACCAGGTTAGTACATTTCTTAATGGGATAAAAAAACTCCAAACACCAAATGTATATGGCATGGATATTAGGTCCTCAGCAACAGCAGTTTTGCTCTCCACATCAGCCTCTGTGCTTGCTAACCCAGACACAGTTGATGAATCCATGGTAATCCAGCTTACCCCAAGGACTTCTTTCACTTGTAGGCTTGGCAGTTGTATTCTTCCACACCTATTTGCATTGGCTCAAGGACAGTCCTTTTGCGTCTTCACACATAATGCTTGCCTTTGCAGTTTAGACTTATCCATTTTTGAAGTGGCCTTTACAATATTGGCAATGCTAAGGAAGAAAAAAACATATGCTGTGCTTTCCTTATTGAACAAAATTTCATCGGGAGCATAGATCTTAACTGTCCAAGGGCCCAGATGCAGAACATTCACCAAAGTGGTAGAAAAGGTGATGAATTTTAGTCCCTGAACTACAACGTTCAAACTCTCACATTTTACAGGGATAATTTTACTGGGACAGAAAGAACAAAGAGTAGGAGTGAGAATGAGCAATGATGAAGGCACCTAAGAGGAGAGAATTGGGTTCTGTTCCTTACACCACTGAACATTGATTTATTTTATCCAGTAATTGATTAATGAATCACTGGGTTATTTATGAAATAACAGTACTTCCCAGGTAACAGTCAAATGACTAGGCCACAGAGTTATGTTAACTTCTTCCCTCTCCCCCACTTAACTGTTTGCTGAAAAGTGGAACATTCCAAATAACAAAGGTTTACCCTGAGGCCCTGCAGTCTGGGCTGATCTCAGGAGATATATCCTTGAGATTTTCTTGGATGGAGAATCTACAGATTGTGACTGGATTCTCTGTTTTGCTTTAGTGAATAAAAGTGCCCAGACTCCTTCCTGTCACGACTTGAAATAACCCGCTTGCTTTTTGAAAGGAGATGTTTTGGAGCCTAATCCCAGGAGCAAAGTCAGGGTGGTGAATTCTGGGGCAGGACAAGGAGTCTATTTCTGTGCCCACTTTTTTCTCATTGGCCACATTAAATAGTTCCCCAAAAGTCTTGGCTTTCATTATTTCCTTGAATAGTCTACACTGTACAGGCCTTTGCTGGGTCTAACCTGCAAACCATTGCCACAGCAGCTTTGTTCTGAGTTTTTCCTACAGACAAAACCCCCAGTGTTGCTTTCACTGCAAATGCCACGTCAAGATGATTTTGACCTTTCATGGAATTTTTGATCATTTATAATTTTTAACATCCTTCGATTACTGCTAAGCTTAATTGAATCCAGAGTCCCAAGGAACAAATGCTCCATAAACCACTGAATACTTCCTTGTCCCATCAGCTCCAACCTGGATTATCGTTAAACTGTTCAAAAGTAAAAGGAAATGGTTGCTCTGTAAGATCAAGATGACAAAGAGTTAAAGGAAGTGTGATAAAACATGACTGACTCTAAAACACTCTTGATTCATTCCTACCTCAGATGCATTTCCAAAGTATCAGAATGGCCCATTAAACAGAAATAGTGTTCTCTAACTTTTTTTATTTCTGTTATGGAACCGACAATCTATTTAAGAAAAGTTATTAGTGCTTAAATGCACTTTTAAACCACATTAAATTTGTCATTAAATATTTTCTTTAGTGTTAATACTTCCTTTCAGAATTTAGGAGAAAACTGAATTGGTATCCTTCCCTAGATTCACTTTCTCTGAAGTCTTTGAAAGAACTGGTCTTCACTAATGCCCATGAAAAAAACTTCAGGACCCAGGGCTCAAAAATTATTAATGATCATTATTTTTGTTCTTCCTGTTGTTATTACTATTATTATGCATATTTGTTATATTTATGATTATATTTGTTTATTGACTTTTCATTTTTGAGCTCTTGAGTCATGCATGCTTCATGCCACAATTCTCAAGATTTCATCATAAGCCTAAAAAAGTTTTTAAATGAAAGATAAGATTTTCACTTACTTCATAATCATAGCAATTATAGCACTAATAAAAAATCCAAATATCGACATGAAACCACAAGATTTGGCACTGCTTAGCTTCTCTACATTGTCCCACTTTGTCTGTATAGTTTAATATTGTTTTTAGACTTGAGTCTGCTCTTTCTTTTATTTGGAGCTGCAACAGCAACAAGGTCAGGACATATGCCATGGATTGCAATTGTCTTTCTTTTCAAGAATTTGTTAAGGAGAGGTGAAAAGCCATCCATGTTTTCTCACCTGTACATAACACCACAGTATTCCTCAAGTGTCCATCCTTTTGTAGCAGCTTTTCTAAAGGAAGAGGATATATAGAAGGAAAAAGGTAGAAAGTGGTAAGAGAAAACGTGCAAAAGAAAGACATAGTTCTTCTCCCTAGTGAAATGCTGTCCTCCGTCATGGACCAGTGGCCACCAATTGCAATGTAACCAGAATCAGGAGCTGGCCAAGGCCGTGTTTTATATGTTCATAGAGCATGGTGAAGAGCTCTGGAACTGAGGAGGTGCTGCTGGAACCAAAGGCAACATTCTTCTGTTTCCATGCCAATCGGTCCTGCTGAAAGGACTAATTAACCTGGAAGGAAGTTAAAAATAATAACAACTGTGCTGTCCTCATCCCAACCAATGTTTTATACAAAGTTAAGAGCACCAGAAGCTCACAGGTGACAGCTCTCACTGTACCTCCCTTTGGTACCAGTTTCATTTCCCTTCATTACTGTCCCGTGTGACAAGTGCAGTCATACACGCTTTTCAGTCAGTGCAGGTTTTGCCTGGCAAAACATGTCTCGGTCTCGGTCTGTGTTGTTGGCACCCTCGCAGGCACGGATCTAGGGAGCCCCAGGCCTGGCATCTGTACATGCACACGGCACCCCTGGCCGTGAGGGGATGGCTTGAGACCCTTGCAGGGCAGGGCAAGGCAGGGCAGGGCTCCCAAACCAGCTCGTTCTCTCGCCTCCGCGACCTCCTCTGGGTACCGCTCCCAGGATGCGCCAAGGGGCAGCTGGGCACAGTCCCCCAACCATACAGCAGCAGGCAGAGGGACAGGAGAGGGCAGCGGCGCGGCGCCGGGAAGCCCCCTCACACTGCTCAAGGGAAGACCCCGTGGGCTGCCCTGGCCCCCCCAGTCCCGCTCCCACTCCGGAGATTCCCTCGCCCTCTCAAGGAGATGCGCCCGGCTGCGGGGGCTGCACGGGAGCACCCCAGGCTCCGGGAGGGGCCGCGGGGCCGCGTGTTGGCGGCGGGGCGGGCGTGTCCCGAGGCGGTGCCCGGGGAGCCACCGCCCCTCGTCGCCGACCCCGGCCCCGTGGGCCCCGGTCCACCGGCGCCTCACCTCGGGCTCTCCGCCGGGAGGGACGGCGGTGCCCTCCCTCTCTCCCTCCCGTCCCCTCCCCTCCCGGCGGGCGGGAAGGCGGCAGGGCGGGCAGAGGGGAGGCGGGCGGCCGGGCTCCGGCGGAGGGCAGCGTCCTCCGGGGCTCGGCGGCGTCCGGCCGCGGGGCGGGCGCAGCCGGGTGCGCGGGCGGCTCCCGCGGGCCGGGCGGCGGTGCTGGGGCAGAGAGTGGATTTTTTGGTTTTGATTTTTTTTTGGGGGGGCGGGCGAGGTGGAGGAAGAACAGGGGCTGTCGCCTCCGCCTCCTACTCAGCGGCAGCCGGGGCAGCCGGATCGCGGCGGCGGCGGCGGCGGCTGCTGCTGCTGCGCGGAGGGAGCGCGGAGCGGAGGGATGTGGGGCTTTGTGGGAGGCAGGATCTTCGGGATCTTCTCCGCTCCCGTCCTGGTGGCCGTGGTCTGCTGCGCCCAGAGGTAGGAGCCAGCGTGCCCCGGCGGCGGTGCGGGATGCGTTTCTCCAGGGGAGCAAGCTGATGCGCTCCCCCCGCCTTCCGTCCCCCGCCCCGCTCCCGCCGTCGCCCCCGGCCCCCGCACCCTGTCCTCTGCCTCTCCTGCCCGACACCCCCGTCTCTCTCTCCCCACAGTGTGAACGATCCCGGCAACATGTCCTTCGTGAAAGAAACTGTGGATAAATTGTTGAAAGGCTACGACATCCGCCTCCGGCCGGATTTCGGAGGTGAGTCGCCCTGCCCGGGCTTGCCGCCCGGAGACCCCCGCGGTGTCCCCGTCGCTGCTGCCGCTCCCGCACGGCGGGGCCGGGTCTCTCGTCCCCAGTGCCGCGGCACCTCTCGCCGCCTGGTAAAGGTCTGGTCTGCTTGCAGGTCCGCCCGTCTGCGTGGGGATGAACATCGACATCGCCAGCATCGACATGGTTTCCGAAGTCAACATGGTGAGTAGTGGTGGAGCCTGGCCGGTGCCGGGGCTATCGCCCGGCGGGTCACGACTGCCCCTTCCCCGTCCCTCCCTTCGCACGAAGTCGCTGCTGCCTCGGCGGGCGGTGGCGGGGCTGCGCGGGGCGCCGAGTGCTGCCCTCTTCCCTTGAAAACTTTATTTCCCTGGAGACGCGCTTTCCTCTTCCCCCGCTTTCCCCCTCTCTCTGCTGGCGGCTGCCTCCGCGAGTGTGCCGGGCCGCCGCTTTCCCCCAACCCTCCTCCTCCTCCTCCTCCCCCTGAGCGCCCTGGGCGGCCGGAGCTTGCTGGGGCTTCGCGGGCACCTGCCGCGGCCTGTCAGCCGGCGGGGTGCGGGGCGGAGCGGAGCGGGGCGGGCCGGCGGCCGGCGGGGTGCCCGGGGCCGGAGAGCCGCGACTGCAGGCATCTCCCCGCGGCTCAGGGGAAGACAACAGCCCAGCTTGTCGGTGGGTAAATTCTGACATGTGCGAGTGCTTTAAGGATCGTTGAGCACCCAGAGCCGGCGCGGTTGTGTATGGACTTCGGAAGAATTGCAGTCTTGCCTCGGAAAGTGGTGCTGTGCGGGTCTGTCGGGTACACCGATGAACAGGGAGGTCTTTAGGGCGTTTCTGCGGTTTGGTCCTGCCGTCTGTGTAGTTTGGTGATACGGGCTTAGAAGCTACAATTTCTGTTTCTTGTCCTAATCCTGAATCTGAGGTGCATTTTTCATGTTCCTGAGCAAATTACTACTTGCTGTCTGTTTTTTTTCTTGTATTCTTCCTTTTGCAAACCTGATGTAGAAAGACCAGCCTACTCTGCAATGCTGTAGTTACATTTACGGTGTTATAATAATTACACATTTGGGAGCTGTGCTCTGTTGTAGTAAATATGACACTAACACTGCACTACACCTCCTTCAATGCACTATTGCAGTGTTACAAGCTGGCATAGCTTGGCTTTATACATGATCTGTGTATTTTCATTAGTATTGCCCTTTCTTTCACCCTCTTTACCTGAAATTCTGAGGAACTTTTGCTCTATTTCTCATCTTTTAAAAAATTATTTTTAACAGAAGGTACAGTTGCCTGTTTGCAGTTAAAAGTGTCACCAGTGCCAGCCTTTCTACTCAGTCAGGAGGGAAAAGTGAGATAGTTCTTACTTATAAGAGTTTGTTTTAGGCTTCCTGCAGATTCAGGCAACTGCAGAGACATCTTGTATATTCAACAGGCTTTTCTATACCTATATGATTGCTTCTCAAATAAAAAAATGGAAGCTGAATGAAAGCTTCTCACTGAACAGTAATTAAAAAGTCTGACTTCACTATCCCCACTGCCACCTTTCCCACCTTTGGCTATGTTCCAGACTTAAGGAAGCACTGCGTGACGCATTAAATTAATATATAGCACTTTGTGTATGTGAAGTGCCACTTAGGCAATAAATATCAGAGAAAGGCATACTGAGATTGGAAAGGAGATGAGGGGATATATGGTGCTTTTTGTGCTTTTTTTCTTTTTTTCCCCAGTGGTGGGAAAGGTTGTTAGTTTTAAATAACAACTTGTCCAACCCCCTGTAGCAGGGATATAAGAAAAAATAATTACACTGCTAGGCTGGGTAATAAGATCTTGAATGACACAGGAGCTCCTCAAGAGGATGGGTATCATCTCTTTCCTCCAGACAGGAGCCAGTGTACCAATTGCCTAAGTTTCTAGCTTCTGCACAAGTTGGTGTCCACTGTTGCCCATTAGTTGCCAGAACAGCTGTGGAGAAGTGGTTTTTCATGTGCCTCTCATGGGGCAATGCAAAGTCTGAAAAATATCAATACAGATCTTGCAACAGAAACAAACAATGTGTTTCTGAAGGGGTTTGCTAAAGTACTATTTTTATAAAAACTGTACTAGTTTACTTTAGGAAAAAATGAGCAGGAAGGACTTCTGGTTGGTGAACACTTTATTACAACCAGAATTTCATCTGAGCTTGTCTCATCTCCCTGTGAAAGAACTCATCTCTGACCAAGCACGACTGCATTCAAGTAGTGCCTGAGTTGATTACTTTCACTTATTTTAAATTGCTTTATACCAATCTGCAAAGATTCTTGAGTAAATATTAATGAATAATGAATGAGAATGAACAGAAGTAGCTTTTCAAGATTACTCAAGTATATATTCTAACTAGTACTTTGGAGGGCGAAAAACATCAACATAGCTGTTGAACTTCATGCTTGTTGCCAACTAAACTTTTAATCTTTGACATATTCTTTAATTTAATTCCAAGCAGATATTGTGAGTATTGACCTTTAGCCTCATCAACTACTGAAATGTCTTACGAGAATTTCTTTGTGTGAACTGTAGTGTGGACATGAATTCCTTTGATTTAAATCTAGACATTTGTGTAACCTTTTATAAATTGGTTTGTTAAAATTCATCTCTGTATTAAAAATAAAATAACCAGAGAGTTAACATTCTTCAATTTTATGTGCATAAATAAAATGTTATTACAGCAAGTTTTATTATGCTGCCTTCTAAGCAGCCAGTAGTGTAGCTTTCAGTGATATGATGACAATTCTTTGTAAGAGGAATTACAGCTTTATCATACCCTTTTCTATTCTTAATCAAACTGTGGGTTTATATATAATATATTCCTCTATGAAGCTTCAGTAACTAGTTATTCACTTAGCTTTCCACCATTTAAAAAATTTATGTAGTTTTAGTCTTTCTGTTGAAAATTACTGAAAATCGTTTGCCCTCTACATCCAGGATACCTGTAGCTATTTTTTAGAATAGATTTATTGAGTAGGCATGTGCATCTTCCTTGGATTACATGGAATGGTTAACATTTTTCTCTCTTTTTTGATGCTAAGCTGGATTAGGAGGACAGATGAAAGAGCATCAAATTGTTTTACTGAAAAGTTGTAAATAAGCAATTTCTATTTGATCTCATAACATCTTGAAAATATTGAGTAGCGTTATTGAAATCATTACTCTGCTATGTTATTTACATCATACTGAAAATACTAAACATGTCTGATGTAAAAAATCATATGCTTTGATATTTATACTTTGAGTTATATATATGGTAGCAAGAGGGAATTAATGAACTTGCCTGTAAGAAGTGCATTGGTCAAGGAAGGGCTAAATCTGTCAATGATCTGCACACATACATATATATATATGTGTGTGTGTATCTCAGTATGTGCTTTACTTCCCTGCTTTACCTGTATATGCTTTCCCATTATTATTTGCCTATTTCAAAAATTATATCTGAAACTGGGTACTTAAGCACCTATCTGTTTTTGTGCCCACCTCCAATAACTGCATTTAAAACTGTTGTAAATTGTACAGTAATATACATCTCCAAAGAAAATACTAATCAATAACAACAGATGTAATACCGAGAAAATACTGTAAGTCATCTTACAAATAAAGAGCATGAAAGATTATCGTTGTCAGATTTCAATAATTTAGCTGTATAGTTTATAAAATTTCATGATTTGGGCTGATCGTGTTCTGGTTTTGCTCTGTTTTAGATGTTTTGCTTAGATTATGTGAATCAAAAAACAATTCTCATCCTTTTTACTATTCTGTCAGCCTGTTTTCAGTCAGGCAGTGTCCACAATTTGCAGTCTCTTTTATAGTCTGATTGTTGTTCAACATTTGGTCTGTGAATCAAATGCATTAGTTCCAAGCGTACAATTTTCAAGCACCCAAATACTTCCATATCTTAGGAAGTTAAATAATCAATACTTTGAATCTCCAAATAACCCCCTCTTTAAAGTCATCATTATAGCTGGAAGACTAAGGTAATGTACTTTCATTTTACTATAATTTTAGAATGGTTTTTTAAGTTTATAAAGCGGATGGAGAAAACAAAGGGATCAGTGCAAAAATGAACCCTTCTCCTTAGAGATAATATTTTGCATGTATGATTTCCTGTAAGAAGGCAAACCTGTGCTACTGCCCTCTGAAGTGCAGTCTGCATTCTTTTTGTGTAAAGAGAGGACTTCAGAGTTGTTTATCTAGGTTTCTCAAAGGGTCTAATTTTGATAAAATTAAACCAGCAGAACCCAGGGGACATCATTTGCTATATAGTCATCCTGCTGTTTTGAGAATACTGTACTCAGAAAATTAGTTTGACATAAAGTCAGCCCATAAAATTTATGAGTTGTTTCTGAAAAAGATGTAATCTATTCTATGCTAACACTCCTAAAAAGACATAATCTGTTCTATGTTAACACCATAATTTTTTTATTTTTATGTATGTGCCTTTATAAAACTGCAAGTTGCATATGGACTTCACTGGGTGCCTGCTGATTTTCAAAGCAATTTTGACATCTTTCTGACAAAAAGTGTTTTAGTTGCTGCTCTAAGATCGACTGAAGTTACTACTCACTGAGACTAGATAGCGTTTATTTTCCTTGGATAGTGGTACACAAATAATTATTTTTAGCTGAATTAATTCATACTTCACCTGAAGTACTGAGAGTGCAGAACCATCATGAGTCTATTGATGAAATCTGTCACATCTTACTTTAGATGTCTACAAATTTTAATGGATTTGTTTTATGTAAATTGAGGTGTATACAGTTAGATGTCCGAGTGAGAGCTGGATTGCTAAACTCTACAGCTGCAGTTAATGGAGATCTAGAACAGAAGAGGGATGCTTGGGCAAAAGTGTCTACTGTCATTTCAGTTTCATGGTATCATACTTCCCCTCTGGTTTCCAGTCCAGATTGGTGCAGATCTCTTGAAAGTCCTCTGCTATGTCAATGTGCCCATGTGCTAGACATGACACCAGCTCCTGAAATTTAAACAACTGAGTCTTATTCTTGTCAATACAGGTGATAGAGTCTGGAGAGCTGCTGAGCTTAAAATGTAGAAGACACCTTAGTAGTGCTTCTTAGATATTTTAAGTTCCTCAAAGTATCTCGTTCGGATTCCAGCTGTCTCTCTAAAAGGTTAAGGAACTCACATAGTTAGTGTGCTGTACCTGCCAGCCGTATGCAGGG